TACGATGTACCAAGTTTGGACCAAATCGGATACTTCCTTGGAGAGTTATCACGCACACCAGCCAGCCAGACAGACATCGCTAGATCGACTCCAAATGTCCATATTAAAAAAATCTAAAAAACTCCCTTTATACAAATACAGTATATCACTTACGCCACCTCTAACGGAGACTAGGTAAGGACAGGTATCATTGCAAAGAAAAGCTTAAACTTAATCTTTCCAAGTAATTTCAACGGATGAGATATTACAACAGCGAGACGAACTCTGGTAGGGTCTTGATCTTCGCTCTCATTAGCTTCCATATCAGCAACCAGGCCAAGAAGTAATGAGATTGTTCGTGAAGCTGGGGATAAAAGGTCACCTCATAATTGGATGTGATGCCAACACTCGCCATTTTCGATGGGCAGTAAAGATACAAATGCCAGAGGTGATCCAGATCTCTGTAGAAAGCATTCGCCAAAAAAGCATATTGAAATCCAAGACAGGCTCATTGGGTCAAATTTTGAAGAGTCTGTTTATTCGAGACTAAACCTTATGGGTGATATGACCTTAACCTCAGTCTTGGATATAGACGACTCTGTAAATGCCATAACGAGCGTCATGCTTGAGTGCCATGAGAAATGATGCCATGTTACCTTTTCAGGCAGGGAATGTTAACAAGTTTGGTGGTCCAAACGTTTGACAACATAAGGAGTGTAAACAGACATACAGGTTGTGTGAGGTTGCAATAACAATACCAAACATCGTACTGACTGGAAAGTCTATATGTCTGCCTTCAATAAGTACATCAGTGAGATCAAGAAGGCCAAGCGCAAGTCATGGGACTGCCTCACTGAGTCTATAGAGGATGTCCATTACCATTGGAAGTATAGCTTGAAGATGGCACATGGCACAAGAGCGTTTTATCTATTAACCAGAATTCAATTCTCAAACTGTGCAGATGCGTTAATCGACGCAATCCCCAATGTAATGGCGAGGCTGTGAACCAAATTAATAGAATTGTAAGTATTCCCAAAATTAAGCGTGTTATTGACACTTTCAACCCCTTCAAGTTACATATAACAGATGGTACTATTGCCATCATGCTACAACATGCATCACCGGCAATAGTGCAGATTCTGGGGGAGATTTTTAAATTCTTGTCAGTATCTATCGCACATTCCGGTGTTGTGGAAGAACGTCAAAGTCACTTGCATTCCCAAAGCTGGAAAACCAAGTTATTCACTTCTACAGACCTATTTGTCTTTTCTCCTATCTACTTAAAACCCTAGAAAGGTTAATTGATTTTGAAATCAGAACTCTACTATATCCAACCGCCATCAGCACTGCTCCACTTGTCTACATGATAACAAGTCTTATCACTTTGACAGCTTTTATCGACATCGGAGCACTTTTAACAATGCCACACTTGAATCTATTCATAAGTCGCTCTCTCTAAATTTGGTATCACAGCGAATTCGGCCACTGCGACGCGGTTTTCTATCAAGTCGCTTCTTTACATTGCGAACCATTTCTGCTGATGTTTCTGTTTTCTTCCGTCCACTTCCTTGACATCGGGCTACGCTACCAGTATCACTATAACGAGCGATGGTACGAGACGAAAGATTTATTCACATTTAAATGCTGGAGTGCTCTAACGATAACCACTTGTGGTTTTTCAGCCAAATATAAAGAAATCACACTATGCCGCTTGAATTCCATCACGAATAACCTTTTTTCTGGAAAATTCTCACCATTGCAAACAATATAACGGGCTGTTCACTGGAATAATTTTAACAGCTGTCGGACGAGTGGTTTTGAAATGACAGCAGTCTGAAGTTTTGCAGTTGCAAAGGTTCGATGTTCTTGTAATTTTTCCCATAACTATTTTTTTATCTGTAGATGAAGTATGAAAATGGAATAATTCGGTAGATTTTATCTGGTAGCTCACGCAAATTTTCTAAGAATGATCACATATCTAATATAAAGTGAAGAAAGTAGTTTATATAGTCCAAACGTGGCACCTCGAAATATTTATATCACATTTATTTAGGTCCCATACGAAATGGACATTATTGGCCCATTCCTGCGGAGCCTACTCCAAAGAGTATCAACAATTTCAATAATCATAACAGAAGTCAAAGTTAAAATATATTTTAATAATAGAACATTGGCTTGAGAGTATACAACTGTCGGCAAAATCGACTGATACTTTTTATTTTGTGGAAATTCATAGCAAGCCAATATATTGATAGGACATTTAACTTTCCACAAACTGTGCTCTGCGATGTTTCTGTAGATAAATAACATTTATTGGATCATTAGTTTAATAGCCATTGCATTTTATTCTTCAAAATCTTTTTAGCGAACTTTGCGATATTTTACATTGCGCATTATCATTTAAATATGTTATTTAGGAGTTTTTAAAGCTAACATTTTTTTAAACGAAACATTTCTTAAATCATTTTACAATTACTTGCACTATAAAGCTTTTGATTTACATAATTCACCCATACCCTGGACCAATGAGAATAATGAAGAGAATGTATTCCTTTTCAGTTATTTGCTGCCAGAATAAATGAACTTTAGACCATACTTTCATATTTCTCCGACATCTCCGAAGACATTCACACCACACACATGGCGATTACCTTCAATTGCGGTCGACGGACAAGCGCACAAAACTAATTGAACTCATAGCACACGTCATGGCCGTCATCAGCGTCACCATCGCCATCATCGTCTCCAGGCAGGAGTATGAGTTACACCAATCCAAAGTCGGATGACCCATTTTCCTCTATCATTTTATCATTGGACAACACTTAAGCCCTGTTTATGCCGGCGAACACCCCGGTAGTGTTCTGGACCTCAATGAGTGCCGTCGGTCGAGATGCGTCGGTCTTGAAGTGTTGAAAGCCACACTTTATGTGCTCTCGTAACCTCTCGATGTGATAATAATGCTGGCCATGGAAAGTACTGGTAGACCACAATATCAGGCGTTCATCGCTCGTTCACCGCCCAACAACGGCAATTTGTTTGGCTAGTTTATGGCACGCCAACGGTTCTTCTTCTCCTTCGTCATCGTCTTGGGCCATTCGTTACCTCGTAATTCCTAAGAAATTTATGATACATGAAAGGGCACACAAAAGGAAATGGAGAAATTGAACTTCGAACATCAACAATTTGAATTGAATTCACAATAAAAATAACAACAACAACGGCCACGATTTACAGACATGCGCAGGCGCACATATCGAATGTAATTGCTTGCCGTTTGTCCGCCTCATAGACGCAGTGTTTACATCGCGTCATGTAATCGAAATCGAATGGCCGACGTTCATATGTTACATATTTTAACGGCTTATGAGATATGTCAGGTTGATTTCCATTCGACTTTTTTCGAATCATTGAGGCGAGTTGTGGTTCACTGGAAGATATTATCGGATTCGTTTTCTTGCTATTTGCCAATCATTTGTTCCAGGTTGGCTGTGCATAAATGCGGGGGAGTGAGGAATAACAGTGCGCAATCAATTGCTCCGAAGGCATGGTGCCTTATCCCCGCAACACAGTGTCTGCATTTGGTTTCAGATGACAGGAAAAACATTCAATTTTTATTCAATATTAACAATATTAAGTGCTCACTACTTCGACAGCAAAAACTCGACCTTAAAATTTTAGATTCGTTGCAACAGTTCGTGTTAGGCCTTTTTAGTACTCAAAATGCACAATTTGTTCAGTTTGACATAGTTTTGATACGGCCAAAACGTGCCTCATCGAAATAACACTTTTAGACACTAGGTCTCTTTGGACCAAATCCGTTTCAGGACATTTGGAGTCGATCTATGTCCGTCAGTCTGGCTGGTGCGCACGATAACTCCCGAAGGTAGTATCCGATTTGGTCCAAACTTGGTACATCATATAATATCATCAAACTTAGATCGAGCTCGGAGGAGACTAATATCGGTCGACATTTTCAAAAAATATTTAACTGCACAGAAAGAGAAACGATGATCCAATTTTAATCCAACCTTGCAAATCCTACTATTAGCATCAGTGCTAGGTCAGGTGTGTAAATGGACAATATCGGTCCACTCCTTCTGGTACCTCCCCCATGGGTCAAAATTTTGAATACCCCTGAACCTCAGAAAACGCGAAATTAACATTGTATTCCATTCAGATTTGGCACAACTCAAAATATCTATCAACATAAGATCTGTTATAAAGATTTGGTTTTGAAAATCGGCCACGTTTTAGTATAGCCCCCTACATAATAGTACTTCCCAATTTTCGGTATTTTGGTGATTTAAGCGATTTGAAGTTCATAACGAATAATACTGCATATGACAGAAAATTATCCGTACAGGTCCACGCCTGCGTATAGCCCCCATATAACGGCTCCTCCCGATATTCGGTATTTTGATGATTTTAGCAACATTATTCACCGAATTCCTTTCAAGTGCCGCATTTGAATATTGTAATGCCTCTGCAGATCCACGTCGTCGTATAGACCCTAATATACATTTGGTATTTTTAAGATTTTAACATCATTTTTAACGTTTTTTTTTAGACAAATTCGTTCCAAATGGTGGAGGGTATTCAAAGTTCGACCCGACAGAACTTACAGCTTTTTTACTTGTTTTTTAATTTTTTGTACATATTGATACCTAATACCAAATTTAGTACCATTTGGTACGTTTCGTTCACGTAAATATTCATTCCCAAAACCACTTCATATCTCAAACCTACACACCAATATTGATCATATTTCAAATTTTAGTACAATTTAGTACATTCGTACATGTACGGTACGTATTTTCAAAACCACTTCCATATCTCGTCACTACCCACCAATTCAGACCCCAACAATAAAGTTTTGTACCATATTTTGTACTCTTGTGGTATTTATTTCCAAAAATAATAATTTGTACCAAATTTAGTACCATTTAGTACATACCTCAAACCTAGTCTTTTAACAATAATCCATACCTAAATTCCATAGAAATCTTATTTCTCAATTTCAGGATTCCAGCTCTATCGGCTAGCCACATTTCCAATTTGTTTCCAGCCCTATCGGTTCACCGAAATCCAAATTATACCAAATTAAGTACCATTTAGCGCACATAAGTACGTATTCCTACATGCCTCAATCCTACACTTCCACAGTAATTCTAATTCCAAATATCAGCTCTATCCAGCTCTATCTGTTCCAAATAAATCCAAATTGTACCAAAATTTGTACATTTTAGTACATATACGTATAAATTTCCAAAACTACCACCACATCCCAATTCCAAATTTCAGAATTCCAGTTAACCGTTCACATGATACGAAATGGTACCAAGTGTAGTACGTTTTAGTACTTTTCGTACACTTACAGTGCGAAATTCCAAAATCCCGTTGGTTCATCCATCATATACTCCATCAGTGACCGTCATTCCTTTGTATTTGACGAACTAATAGAGTTCTAGCTCTATTAGTTCGTCAAATACAAAGGATACCTTTTAGTAATTTTCGTACCATTCTAGTACGAATTTCCAAAAATCCAGCCTTATCTGACACCTTCAGACCAAGAGGGAACTTCACCCAAAGTTGCATGAATCATTAAGTCACTCAATCACTTTACTATTTCTTTAACATAGATACTGAAACAGGTCATTGGGAAGACTTCTTGGAGCTCCTCCTCGTACATCAGAATCAGGATCTTAGTGGCCGTGGTTGAGATGGGCGACTGGTTGTTCACATCCACCTACACCTCACTGTTTCCTCGGCAGTGTTGTTCATTTGTGTTAGGTTCATTTGGCATCTGATGGACTCAAAGCCATGAGAGGAAGCAATGTGGATCCGGGCCCCTCTTCTGGTGGAAGTGTGGAATTGGTGGGAGTATAAAAAGATCCGCGAAAAATGATTGTCAACTTATTCCAATGTTTTGGTTGATTATTTCCCGATGTTTCTAAATATTGTTTTGAAAAAAGGATGTATACATTTTACCGTTTCCAGCCACTGTGTCCAAACAGCCCAAGGGTCCAATATCCGAAATGCGTACCAATTCGCAAAAAAAATATAAAATATTCCCGACTTTCACATAAACTAAATAAAAATCTTAATATTTGCACAATAAATGTTACTTCACACCAATAACTTTGGACAAGCGTCCGGCTGCTGCAGTTAGGCAGCCAGTTATGCATGTGTCGGGTTGTGTTTAGTCAGATATTAAAATACTTGTAACTGGGGGGCATTCGGATTCAATAGCAATGAGCATCACCTCAGCGCAGCGAAATGCTAGACAACGCTAGAATCTGCACTCCATTGTTTGGCAGACAGAAAGACAAGAGACTGCCCAGATCAGGCCAGGGCAGACAAAGTCGTTCGTTTCGCTTAACGGCGAACATCGTTAATAAAAGGGCATTAAGGTTGGCCAATTGAAAATGTTATTGTTATATCAAACGACAAGGAACATTTCTGATCTCTCTCCCTCTCTGTCCTCCCAAACTCAGGCCAGAACGAAATTGCTTGGCCAAGAAAACAAACAAATTGCAAACTGGTTAACAAGAATCTTGTTTATTATTAGAAATGCCTGCTGCTGATGTGTGTAAACTTATTACGCCGCCACGAACGAATGAACACATCCATTGAATATGGAGGGGGGAGTGAGGCAAACTTAGTGTGAACAACAAGTAGCCAGGAAATTGGCTTGCCCTTCCTTCTACGAAACTTCTCCACTGGCCTAATGAAGTGATTGCTTTTGATGTGAAGTTACTTAAATCGATAACTAAAGGTGTCAAGTGGTCCATTACTCATGGCTATCTAATGATGATTTAGATGCTGCTGCTGCTGGACTACCAAACAACTGGCCAGCCAATAATCCTCTTCTCATGTTTTACTATTTCGCTATTGTTCTTCTTCTTCATTTTTTGTTACAGAGGATTAGAATGTAGCCTGGTTTCTGCCTTAGATTCGTTGCCTATCTTATTGGCCAAATGCCATACACATTTTTTCTGAATGCTTCCCGTCTTGTTAAATTGTGTTTTGTTTGTTTCCCCTTCCCCACCGTCACCACCACCAACAAAGAACATGTGTCGTCGGTGGTCATAATCAATGGGGCCGGGGCTATTGTGGCAATGACGATAATTCTTTTGTGAGATATTGTCATTCAGTAGCGAATGGCAAATTGTTTTAAGCAGATTTCATTGACACCTCTTCGCTGAGTGATTGCAAAAATGCACAAGTCCACAGTTGCGGACTATGACCCTTGGCGGTAGACGCCATTAACCCATTTTAATGTAGACGTTCTAGTTGCCGTGGCACATTATTTCCCTACATTCAACTTTAGGTGCCATCTGACGAAGATCCTATTAATGATACCGATCTACTCATTAGCGCGCCTATCGACCGACTTAGCAAAAAAATTCAAAAGGACTAACTGGACATTATCGGCATAGGCCAGGAGAATACTGCCTCAGAAAGAAAAATATATCATATAACATCCGACCGAGGAGGCAACACCTGCCAATACTTTGCAGCGCTTAAAAATTGGGCGAGAAACCTGAAAAAATGCGAACCCTACAAAACTAACGACCATTCTACAGCTTGGCTATCAAAGCCAAAAGACAGCAATTTATATAAAATTCCATTATGTCAGACAAAGTCAAAAGATCTGACAGTAATTACCACACAGAGAGATCGGAACCGGGCTTCAGTATGGGGACAATCGTTGTCTCTTTCCAGGCAGCAGGAAAGTACCATAGATGAAGCCTATGATTGAAAAGAATTTAGAAGGACAGAACCACATTTCATGCCCTTTTCAGAGCGGTTTCAGTCAAACACAAAGCCCACCAGCGTGGGATTGACAGAATCCTCCCAATAAAAAGATGGGAGAATGGTCTGCAATCCCCTCCACCCAAGCTGACTTGACATAGACCGATACTTCCACATGTCAAAACGTTTCCTCTTCCAGGTTAGCCAATATCGCCGCTCTTGGTTCATCCTAGCACCTGTGGCGTCTACGAGTAGATCTCGAGAGGCAAGGCAAAGATCTCCGAATTGACTCAAGAAAATTTTGATACTAATCGCTTTCTAATTGGAGTATATGATTTGGTCGAGGTTTCGGATATCAATAGTGAAAACTCATGGTACTCAGGATAACCAGCATTAGTTTTTACCCCGCTATCAGGGTACTCTGAATTCGAAACAAAACACTACACAAGTTTTCCATGCTAATGCCAATTTTTATACCCTCCTCCATAGTATGGAGGGTTTGTAACACCTCGAAATATGCATTTTAGATCCCTCAAAGTATAAATATTCTTGGTCAGCATAAAATTCTATGTCGATTTAGCGATGTCCGTTCGTCTGACCGTCCTTCCTCCGTCCGTATGTCCGTCTATGGAAATCCGAACAAAATGAAGTAGGTTGATAAAATTTTACTCCAAAGTATATTATGTCTGCAGGACTTTTGGTATTAAAAATGTGTCATGTAGGTCCACGTTTTGGTATGGCCCCCATATAGTGGTACCTCCCCATATTCTGTATTTTTATGATTTTAGCTACAAGATTCACCGATTGTTTTCAAGTTTCGCATTTGAATATTGTAATGGCTTTTGACAAAAGTTGCCTATGCAGTCCCACGTCGTCGTATAGGCCCTATTATAACAGCTACTTTCGGTATTTTTAAGATTTTAACTGAATTTTTAACGGAGTTTTTTTTTTTTTTTTTTTTTTTTTTTGAGAATTGCTAAAATCGTTCCAAATGATAGAGGGTATACAAAAAATTCGGCCCGGTCGAACTTATAGCTTTTTACTTGTTTTTATTATTGGTTTCAAATTATCTTGGATAGTACCCTCAGAATTAGAGACAGCGCCGGTCTCTGTAGCTTAGGTTGACTTAGATTATGTTTCAGGGCCTGAGCTATCAATATCACTATTTAGAATTAAAATTCTTGTACCATTGTTAGCCAACACACCTACATATATGATGATTACAGAAATACAAATCAATTCAATAAAAATTAAACGTAAATTGTTCAAAGAAGATTACATGAAAATTTCATGTCAATAAAAATCCGTCAACAAAAAATGTGGCGGCGACACTCTCAATTGGCAGTTTGACAATTTTATTTACTTTTTAATTAAAAAAAGGGAAATCAATTCGATTGGCTAGCAAAAGTGTTGGGTATTTCATTTACATAGCCGCACCGCCAAAAATGGGTCATGGCAGAGATGCTCGAGACCAAAACAATTTGCTTTGGCCTTACTGAGCAGCGTACAGAGACCTCATGGGCAAAAGAACCATTACATTAATGAATTGGCATTTTCGGTAGGGCAATAACAAAAACATTAAGAAAATGTTTTAATAACTTTTCTTAATATTTGCAAGAAGTTAATACATTTTTCGTTTCCAAACGGAATGGGAAGATGATGGAATTTTCGACTAACTGAAACTTTGACTTCCGTTTGACTTTGTTATAACTCACAAGACCACGTCCTGCACTTGAGGTCAAACGAAGGGTGAAACATAACCCAGAAGAGAACAAAAAAGAACAAAGAAAAAATATGAAACCATTTAATTGAAATATCTTAATTATGAAGGTTTGACTTCTTGTTTGGCCTCCAGAGAAATTGCCTAATAACAGCGTGTCGTGGCTAAAGAGAACGCCATGCACCTGGGTAGCAAAAAATTATTTATAAACATAAATTAATTACCTTTTTTTAAAAGAAAGGAACTGGGCAACACTAAAATATAGATATTTCAGCAGGCCTTTGGGTAGTATGTTGTATCGACAGGCTTATTTGAAATGTGTATGTTTGTGCGTAACCTGAATTGACGGCGTAGGGCGTTAACATTTTACCTTTATTGTGGTATCTTCAATCGAAAGCATCGCAAAATGAAAATGGATAAACCATTAAATGGGAGGTGGTTCTTTTTTCGGCAATTCGCATGTCATAACAATAATGTCTTCATTAGTTGAAGGTTAGTTCAATAAACTAAATGTTCGAACACAAGTACAAATTGTAGACTGAAAGAAGACATTATGACTTTTTGTCAGTACAAACTAAATGTCATTGATAATCTTAAAAGGACTGGGGGAGCCGGGAGTCGGTTATCTTATCAAAGTCCCCAACCTTTTGCTAGCCATCTACCTCGTTTCCGAAGCCTGAAAAATGTCGGGGTCAATG